TCTCTCTCTCTCTCTCTCTCTCTCTCTCTCTCTCTCTCTCTCTCTCTGCCCGTCGATGTTTTCTCATCGCGGAAGCTGATCGATGCGAGTGAGTTGTGAGTGCATCGCAAATAACTGCTTATCACAGCTTATCTTCGCTTTGTTTCAGTCGTGCGGCGCGAGTCAGGAGACAAGACGCACGGACCCGAGATGGATGGATCTTCGGCGAACATATTGCGCGACTGATAGCGCAAATATGCTGGCGGACAACAACGGAAATCTTCACTAACTTTTATTGATGCTGTTAGCCGACAAATTGTGCGTCGAACAACTGCCGAACACAATTGATAAGAGAAATCAGAACGGCTTTTTTACAGACGCGGGGGCAAAGTTTCGATCGGGCGAAGTACAGCGTATATTGGGGAGTGGCGCCGGGGAATGCTCTCCCTGCAGATGGGCCTCGCTTAAAGTTTGCTGAGGGATCCGTGTCACCCTCTCGTTTGACACGTCGTGGTCGGCACAGAGCCGGCAAAGCGTTCACGACAGCGAAATGCTTCACGATCTGATGTATGTTAATGCGGTCGCGCGCGCCTGTGTATGTGTGTGTGTGTGTGTGTGTGTGTGTGTGTGTGTGTGTGTGTGTGTGTGTGTGTGTGTGTGTGTGCGCGTGCCTCCGTGTATGCGTGCCTGCGTACGTGCGGAGGAGCAGGCAGGCGGTAGGGCGTACCTCCGTACTGCTTCTCTTCGTTCGCCCGTTTGCTTCAAATGACATCTGAGTGCGAGAGTGTTGCATCGATGCGCCGTACACTGTCACTACGGAAACCCTGCAGTTATACGACCACACCGGTGTCGCTGCCTACCGACGCGTATTAGCGGTCACCTCTACAGAACGGTCACCTGTGTATAACACTTTTCGGAATTTCTTTCAAGTGTTAAGTTACACGATGAAACAATTGCTAAATAACGGACACCTTTCGTAAGAGACACTTTCGACGTTTCACTCCAGCGATCCTAGCATGTATAGACAGACCTTCGACTGCATTTCAACATGAGAAAAATGCTAATGCTACTCGCGTACTTTTAGTATCACAGTGAGCGGGGAGCCGCTAGGCGCATCCCCTGCGTACGGGGGCAAGATTCGGGTGACGATGAGTGAGCGCGTGAGTGATGAGAGGCAGAGCCTTGCGCGCGCGCGCGGGCGAGTGAGTTATCCAGTGTAATGGCCGTGATTAGATAGAATTTCCCGATAATGGTTCCACGACGAAATAGTCCGAAAGCCGGCCTACTAATCGCCGGTTCTCCCCGCCGCCGCCCGTATGCTGCGTTACAGATGCACGGCAGAATGATGTGCGATACGGGAGAATGATGTGCGACACGGCAGAATGATGTGCGATACGGCAGAATGATGTGCGATACTCAGAATGATGTGCGAGACGGCAGAATGATGTGCGACACGGCAGAATGATGTGCGATACGGCAGAATGATGTGCGATACGGCAGAATGATGTGCGATACGATAATTAATACGGAGTAATGGTGTGCAATACGGGAGAATGATGGGCAACGCGGGAGAATGATGTACAATACGGGAGAACAATGTGCAATACGATAATTAATACGGAGGAATGGTGTGCAATACGGGAGAATG